ATCATACCACTCCCTTTTGTCCTATAAGCTTTCTGCTGAGAAGTCCAATGATAGCCTGAGGACCTTTCCTTTGTGTGTGATCTTTTTCTCTCCCTGGCTGCTTTTAATACTCTGTTCTTATCCTAGATCTTTGCCATTTTAATTATTATATGTCTTTGTGTCGTCTTCCTTGGGTCCCTTGTATTGGGAGATCTGTGCACCTCCACGGCCTTAGAGACAATTTCCTCCTCAAAGGGACTTTCTATCCCTTCTTCTCTTTCATCTTATTCTGGTATCCCTGTAATGCAAATATTTTTCAGTTTGGATTGGTTGCACTGTTCCCTTATTATTCTTTCATTCCTAGAGATCCTTTTTTCTCTGTTTGCCCCAGTTTCTTTTTATTCCTGTTCTCTTATTTCTATTTCATTTACCCTCTCCTCTACCTCATCTAATCTGCTTTTAAATGCCTCCATTGTATGTTTAATTTGAGAGCATCCATTTTTTAAAGTTTCTATCTCTTTCTTGAAGTCCTCCCTGAAATCTTTAATATTTTTCTGTAGCACCGTGAGCATGTTTATGATTTTTTTTGAAATCTTTAGCAAGAAGATTGGTGATTTCAGTTTCACTTCACCCTCTTTCTGGTGTTTGTGGGATTTTGGTTTGTTCCAGGCTCTTTGCCATTTTGTATTTGTAATGAATAATAAAGAATAATAACTTTGTGTAGGTGGTGCCCTGTAATGCCCAGAAGCTCTATTTTCTGGAGCCGCTAATTCCATGGAGTGATGGCAGGGGTCACAGGTGAGCAGAGTCACTGCCTGACAGGAGGAAAGAGCTCTTTCCTACTTTCTTGTTGCAGTGCACTGCCTCCACTGTCAGGGCCAGTGGGCCTAGCATGCAAGAAGCAGCCTCTATGTTACACCTCTGTAGGTGCCATAGGCTAGGCCGGCTTCTGGCCGGCCTGACACAATAGTGGGGGCAGCTGGTGTGCAGAGCGGTTCCTGCCGGGAGGAAGGAGCAGCAGGCTACGTATCACAGTGGGAGGCCTCAGCACTGCATTGCCATTGGGGAGCTGGAGCATCTGGAGTTCCATAAAGTTCCCAACCTGGTGGGCTGAATGTGTGGGATGATTTTGTTCACCTATCCTTTCTCCTGAGCAGCAAGTTCTGTGTAATCCTTACCCCTTTTGCACCCCTCTCACTGTTGAGAAGTATTTCAAAGTGCCCCCCATTTATTTTGTACCAGAGTGGCCAGTTGCAGGTACCTGTTCTCCACAAGTGGCTGGAATCTGTCTCTCTGAGTATTCCGCTTATCTTTGCTTTCCAGCCCTTCTAATCTCCAGAGCACTCTGTAATATGGGTTTGTGCTCCTGGAGATCTCCAGGGGGTGGGTATTTAGCAGACCTGGGCTTCTACTCCCTCCCTGCTTCATTTTTCTTCCTCCTGCCTGTGAGCTGGGGTCAAGGGTGGGCTTGGGTCCCACCGGATCGTGGCTTTGCTACCTTACCCTTTTCTGTGAGGTCTGCTTTTTTCTCTAGATATAAGCAGTCTGTTGTAATTTTTGGGTTGCTTTTTCAGGGTTAGTTGTATTTGCTGTATTTTCGTGTCATATGTGGTTTTTAGAGGAGGTTTCTGCCTCTCTTCCCATGCTGCCATCTTTTTTTCTCCCTAAACAACTAAAAATTTTTAAAAACTCAATAGATAGGCTCAGTGGAGAAATGGGATAACAGAGGAACGAATCAGTGAACTTTAAAAAGAAAAACAGAATTATTTAATCTTAAAAACAGAAAGAAAATAGAGATCTATAGGCCTGAAAGAAGAGGAGAGAAAGAGGGCAGGGCTGAAAAAATACTCATAGTAGCTGAATACTGGAAATAAGAGCTAAAAGTTTTCCGGATTTCACAAAAAAATGTAAACCTGTTGTTTCAAGAAGCTGAGCAAACTTCACACAAGGTAACCCAATGAAATCCATGCCAAGACATATTATAGTCAAGCTTTTTAAAACTAAAGGCAAGGAGAAAAGTTTTGAAAGCATCAAGAAAGAAATGACACTGCCTATAGGGAAAAAGCAATTTGAATGACAGTGGATTTCTCATCAGAAAATATGGAGGCCAGAAAGGTGGTAACAGTATTTGTGCAGCACTGAAAGGAAGGAACTGTCAACCCAGAATTCTATATTCAGTGAAAATATTCTTCAGGAATGACAGTAAACAATGATGCTCTCAGATGAAGGAAAGGGTAGAAAATTTGTCATTAGTAAGCCATCCTAAATGAATGTCTAAAGGAATTTCTTGAAACAGAAAAGAAGTGATTAAAGATGGGATCTTAGAACATTAGGCAGAAAGAAAGAACATCAGGAGTAAAATTAAAGTGACTTTTCTTCCTGAGTTTTCTAAATTTTTTGTGACATTTTCTCTTTCACTGTTTTGAAAAACTAAAACACTGTTTAATGTCCTCAGTGTATGTAGGGAAATACTGAAGACAATTGTATTATAAATGGGAGAGGGTAAAGAGGCCTAAGGAAAGGTATAGTTTTTATACTACATTGGAAGTAAGAAGATGTTGACACCAGTGATCTGTGATAAGTTTTATATAATGTTATGCCTCAAACTGCCAATTAAAAATCTATTCAAAGAGATGTACTTAAAAACACATAAGATAAAAATGCAATTCTAAAATAATGTTCAAGTAATCCACAGGAAGGATGGAAAAGGAAACATAAGTAGAAAATAATTGAATATGTTCTAACATATCAACAATTAAATGTTAATGGTCTAATTTTGCCAGTTAAAAGACCAAGATTTACAGAGTGAATAACAGAATGCCAAACTACATTGCTGATTTATAAGAAATCATCTCAGATATAATGATACTGGTAAGAAGAAAGTAAAAGGCAGCTTTATTTGTAACAGCTGAAACTGGAAACAACCAAAATGCCCCCTCAGTAGGTGAATGGTTAAACAAACTGTGGGTATATTTGTACCATGGAATTGTATTCATCAATAACAAGACATTAACTGTTGATACTTGAACCAGCTTAAGTAGATCTCAGGGTGAAGAAAAAAGTCAATCTTAATAGGACATACACTGTGTAACTCCATTTATATAACATAACTATATTATAGAGATGGAAAACAGATTAGTGATTGCTATGGCTTAGGAATGATTGGAGGCAGGAGGGTTGTGACTATAAATGGGTAACATGAGAGATTTGTAGTGGAAGAGTACTGTATCTTGATTTTGTGATGGTTACACAAATGTACACATGATAAAATAGCACAGAACAATATACTATGCTGTACCAGTATTAATTTCCTGGTTTTGATATTGTGCCACAGTTATATAAAATATAACCATTAAGGGAAATTGAAGCATAAACTGGACCTCTATACTATTTTCACAACTTGCTGTGAGTCTATAATTATTTCCAAATAAAGTATTTTAAAAAGCAAAGAGATGAATTATAAGTAAGAAGACTTGGAACATTTTAAACAAATGCATTAATATGTATTATGCATTTTCAGGTATAAGAAAGCAAATATCCTTAACGTATATCTTTAAAACAATAGAATGACTTATATGAACATAATTTTTTAACTTAGTTTTTATTTTCCTTAGAGTTAAAGAGGCGTATAATGAAGAAGCAGACATTTGACTACTTTAGACTAGCTCTTTTTTTTTTAATGTATTAACTTCCCACTACAGAACATAAGGATTTAGCCATCATTCACTTCCCCTGTCATCACTGACACAGGCCTTCTGTTTGCTTCCCCATTTTCCCACTCTAGTCGTCGTATTTATTTCAGTTACATCAATATTCTGTTAGTAGGATGGTAGAAAATGCTATTCATATCTAAGATGTGGTTGCTTTTCCATTCTTGTACAACTTTTTATTTTCCTTGGAATTAATAATTGTGTTGATTACTTGCTTAGTTTTCTGTGTACCTATGATTAATTGAATCCCAAACTCCAGAATTGCTACTATGTTTGTGTTCATTCTGAATACCAGTTTTTTATCATTCTTATTTATAGAGGGAGGCAAGCAGGGGTTTTAGAGCTTTGGTATAAAGAAAATTCTTGGTGTTAGAAATTCCCTATAAAACCAAAGTGAATGCCAATTACATTTTTTACTTTTTGTATTTATACACATATACCCTGTCCAGCTATAGATAGATGAATGGATATACCTTTCAGTAAAGCAAGGAAATCTACAGATATTGGAGAATATTTATATTCTAATAGGAAAGGAAATCTGTAGATATTTGTGAACAGTCAATATCCTCATCATTCCCAAACATTGGTTATATAGGGAACTGGGGAGAGCCATGGAGTAGAGGCCAGATGATTTGGGGTCTAGTTCCGATATAGAAGTACCCTGATGTTTAGAAATTGGATTAAAAGGCTTAATGTAGTATCTAAAGCCTTGTAGAGAGGGGAAATTTTAAGAGACAAAAGTAAGCTATGAATGTTGTCTTTGTTGTGCTTTAAGTTATATGGTAATTGTGATTTTTAACTTCCCAAGAGTGCCTAAAAAATGGAAAATTCTAAGGCCATCAGAAATCTCATTGTTTACTACTCAAGAGGTTAGATTTGATACAATATGCTCTGAAATAATTAGTATGGCTTTCATTGTGATTTTTTTAAGTTACATACCATTGAAGCTAGGTGGATCCTTGAGGGCTTCTAAGAGAGTCCTTGGTTGTCTAGTAGTTTTTAGTTGTAACCAAGGGCAGAATGTACTGTTTTTTATTTGCAAGTGTTTAACTTAATTGTGACTATCAATGCGAGATATATTTGCTATTTGGGATACTTAGTTTTCAGAGGGCATTAAGGAGAATTGCCTACATTTGGAAATGAATTTGTAGGTTCACCTTAGAGCACCTGTTGATGTACCTTTACATGTGTTAGATGATGCTGATAATGTGCCTTATTATGGGATCCTATGAAAAGCAGGTATGTAATTTAATTTCATAACAAACATTTACTGATTATTCTTCACTGATAACATGTTTTAATCGTTTTTAGGTACTTGAAGAAGCAGAAGCTCAACATTTATATCAATCGATTTTGCCTGATATGGTAAAAATTGCACTCTGTCTGCCAAATATATGCACCCAGGTTAGTAGAAATAACTTCTTCCTCAGTACCTTTCTTGAGCCTTACAGTTGAATTTTCCTTAAATTGTAATTACCAAAGAGAGAGAAGAGAGAGATGGGAGACCAAAGAGTTTTGTTACAGCAAGGGAAAGGTCACAGGCTAGCAAGAGTGCTAGGAAAGGACATTAAAAATGCAGCATTCAATTTCTAAGCTCCAGTTTACACTGTTAAAGTGTGCTTGCCCAGACTTTGTTTTTCTCTTCTTGTTTAAACAGTCTCTAACTTAAAAAACAAAAACGTAGTCATTGTTTCAAGACATACTAATGGATTTAGAACATTTTATCTTCTAGATGTCTTAATGCCCCCCCAATCCCCTCCCTCCTAGCAGAGTGATATATTATATAGCAGTTGAGCTCATGGCACTCTCTTAACTTTTAAAAATGAAAGAAAGAATCTGGTATTATTTCATTTTGCTTGGTGTATATTAATAATTTATTGCTACATAAGAAATTGCCTCAAAACCTAGTGGCTAAAACCACCAGACATTTATAATGTCATAGTTTCTGTCCATCAGGAATCTGGGAGCAGCTTAGCTGAGTGGTTCTGGTTCAGTATCTACTGTGGTTGTAGTCAGGGTGTGGACCAAACCAGCATCAGTCTAACAGTTTGACTGAGACTGGAGGAGCTGCTTCTAGGCTGGCTCATGCAATGGCTGTTGGCAGAAGGTCACAGTTTCTTGCCATGGGCCTCTTCGTGAACTAATGGAGTATTCTAACATGTTTCCTAGCTTCCCTAGAACAAGCAACCCAAGGGAGAACGCAAGAAGTCACAGTGCCTTTTTTGGCCTAGCTTTTGAAGGCACTTACTGGCACTTCCACTGTTTTTCTGTTCATTAGAAGTCAGTCACCAAATCTAGCCCACACTCAAGAAGAAGGTGATCTGACTGTATTTCTTAAAAGGAGGAGGTAAAAAAGAATCTGTGGACATATTTTTAAACTACCAGTTAAAGAGATTTTTGTTTTGTTCTTCATAATGTTCTCACAACAGTCACTTGAAGTTTCCTTTGTCTTTTATTCCAGGCCAGTCCCCTTGTTGCATGGATGTAGCCGGAGGGGTCTGTTAAGACTCTGTTGCTCGAGAGAGGCTTTAGGGACATATGGGGTGGAACCATTTCTGAATGTGTGGGATACTCTTGCACATTGCAGTCTGTCACTAGGACACCCCAAAAACCGCAAGCACAGTCACTGGGACAACCAAAAAACATATCTAAATGCCTGAGTGTCATGCCACCTTAAGTTGAGAACCATTGAATGTTCTTTAGTGTGCCATATTTGTTAGCATTTTACTGAGGTATTTCTTATTTTATGTAACTTGTTTCACCTCAGTAATGCATTGTGTCTGAAATTTAAGTTTTTCTGTTGGTCAGAGAAAATATATTTTAAAACTCATCTTTTTGTTTATGTTAGTCATTATTTGCTTATGTTTCATGTTCATTCTTTTTTCTTTTCTTCCTTGTTGTTTTCCTTATCTAGTAAAATCTCTCATTACCTATTAGGGTCTACCTATCTTATTTTCTCTGCAAAGAATTGACTACTGCCCAACCAAGTGAAACCTTCCTGTAGTACTCATCATATTTAGAACATTATTTTTTAATTTATGTCTTTACATGTCTCCTCTTACTAGATGATACTCTCCTTGAAGGGAGAGCCTCTTTGCATCCCTATTTTTTTTTTTTTTTT